TCCCGTGTACACAGAGTAGACTTGTTTATCTTGCTCCCGTGTACACAGAGTAGACTTGTTTATCTTGCTCCCGTGTACACAGAGTAGACTTGTTTGTCTTGCTTCCGTGTACACAGAGTAGACCTATTTATCGAGAGAGATGCAGTATTCTGTGTTGTGCTCTTTTTGACCTTTGCTTTTTTGTCCTTATTCCTCTTTGAAAATGACTCCGGTAGTAAACTCCCTTGGCAGTCAGCGCATCTTAATCCCTCTGGCAGGAACCGCCTTCACCAGAGATGGCCGCTACATGGCGCTGGCCGAGAGGCGGGACTGCAAGGACTTCATCAGCATCTTTGTTTGCCGTGACTGGCAGCTCCTGAGGGTAAGACCTTTCCTCTTCAGCTGGCATCAGGTGGTCCTGTGAATGGGGGAGGAGGTGGCTGAGATGTGTATCTGTGGCATTATGTGGGACAGTGTGCTTTCCAGTTTCCAGGGGACAGGGGTGTTGTGTGTAGCCTCAGGTAATATACCTGCTGCCAAGTGTGTGCAAGATTTGGTACAAATGAGGCATGCTGGGTTTTTTTTTGACATTCAGATCCTATCAGAGTGGAGTCCTTCCTTTTATGATTTGTTTAATTTGACATTGATATATGTACAAACTGATGCAGCACTCGAGATGCTCACTCATCTTTGCAAAGACATTTGAAAGACTGTTACCTGGCCAGCAAATTGCCCATTTCAGAGAGAGGTGCCCCAGTGGAATGCAGAAACCATCGAACAATATCATTAATATCACATGCAAGTAAAATTTTGCTGATGCTAATTCAAAAACTATTATATCAGTCTATTGACAAGGAACTGCCAGAAATTCAAGCTGGATTCAGAAAGAGGCTGTGGAATGAGGAATATCACTGCTGACGACAGAGGGATCTTGGCTGAAAGCAGAGATTAACAGACAGATGTTTACTTGTGCTTTGTTGACCATGCCAAGGCGTTTGATTGTGTGGCTCATAACAAATTAGATATAACATTGCAAAGCATGGGAACTCCAAAACACTTACTTGTGCTTATAAAAGAACCTTTGCATAGACCAAGAGGCTGTTGAACAGAACAGAACAGAACAAGGGGATACTGAGTGGTTAAAATCAGGAAAGGTGTGTGCCAGGTTGTATCCTTTCACTTTACTTATTCAATCTGTATGCGGAGCACATAATCCGAAAAGCTGGATTATATGAACAACATGGCATCAGGATCGAAGGAAGACTCATTAAAAGCCTGTGATAATGCAGGTGACACAACCTTGCTTTCTGAACGTTAAGCGGACTTAAAATACTTACTTCAAAGTATATATAGTCAGTATGTATAGTCAAAGTATATATACTTCAAAGTATATATAGTCAAAGACTATAGCCTTCAGTATAGATTACACCTCAATGTAGAGAAAACCAAATCCTCACCATTGGATTAAGAAAATAACACTATGATTGATGATTGAAGTTGTCAAACACAAGATCACTTGGATTCACAATCAACACTCATGGAAGCAGCAGTCAAATCAAACGAAATAGGCTGATGTGCTGCACAAGTGTTCAAGAGCAGAGATGTCAGTTTGAGGACTAAGGTGTGCCTGACCCTCATGTGCAGGTGAAAGTTGGACAGAAGATTAGAAGAATTGATGCATTTGCTGAAATATGGTGTTAGCAGAGAATATCAGATATACCAGGGACTGCCAGAAGAATGAACAAATCTGTCTTAGAAAACGTATAGCAAGAATGTTCCTTGGAAGCAAGGATGGTGAGACTTTGGACATGTTGTCAGGAGGCATCAGTACCTGGAGAAAGGCCATCATGCTTGATAAAGTGAGTATCCGTGAGGAAGAGGAAGACCCTCAACGTGATGGATTGACAAAATGGTAGTAACAGTAGACTGAAAGGTAACATTTGTAAGGATGGTGTAGGACTGGGTAGTATTTTGTTCTGTTGTCTGTAGGGTGACTGAGTTGGAACCACTCTACAGGAGCTAACAGCTACATGTTCTGTTAGGAGGAGGAGTAAAATTGAACTTGACCTTGAGTGTTCTGTGTTGGGCACAATTCAAGGTGTTGAGTGTCCCCAGGGTTCTTGGCCTGGTTCTCACAGTCTGAGAGTAGGGCAGGTGGTTCACATGAAATTCTGGAATGCTGTTGAGGGACCCCTCATCAACCAGTGTCCAGAACAGAAGTGTTTGTCTTAAGGGAGGAAGACTCTAGCTTGGCAAGCAGGGGTGAGGATGGCAGAGCCCAGCTAAAGGTGACTCATGGCTGGGCAGAGCTGATGGAGCCCAGCCGACTGGTACAGGGGCCACACCTGCAGCACTGAAGCAGGGTAGGGTGGTGGGTGTAGCTCCATACTTTGTGAGAGAGGGAGAGTCCCAGCGTAGGAAGCCTTAGTTACCAAATGCAGTGGTCTAAGAAAGTATTTCCAAATTGTAATCGCTTGCCCTCTTTCTTTGCAAGCACTTTGAGACCGACACCCAGGATCTCGTTGGGATCGAGTGGGCACCCAATGGCTGTGTGCTGGCCGTGTGGGACACCTGTCTGGAGGTATCAGAATGACCCAGTAACACTTTGTGTTTTAAGAACTTGTCACCTAGCGCTTAACTTACCTAATGCTTTTTGAATGCTGCAGATTGGTTAGCTTTCTCATCTCTGAACTGTTGAATTAGCTTTCCCCCAGCACCCTTCCTCTGTGTGCTAGTTGCATTAACTAGAGGGCTGTGCTGGACCTCAGCGCTCCCCTCTCATGCACCAGGGCAGTCAGGACCCCAGCCCGCCAGCTGACTGCCCTGCTCTCCTGCAAGTCTTGGGTCCCTGTAATGTGTAGATCATGACTGAAGTGTCTCCTCTAGTACAAGGTCCTGCTCTACTCATTGGATGGCCGATTGCTGTCAACCTACTGTGCGTACGAGTTGTCTCTGGGCATCAAGTCTGTGGCCTGGAGCCCTAGCAGTCAGTTCCTAGCGGTTGGAAGCTATGATGGAAAGGTGAGAACCCGTAGAGCTCTGGCTTGGCTGCTTGGGCAGGAGATGAGTGGCCACTGGGATGCTCAGCCTCACCCCTGGTGTTCTTTAACCAGGTGCGCCTTCTGAATCATGTGACTTGGAAGATGATCACAGAATTTGAGCATTCTGCAACTATCGACAATCCCAAGATTGTAAGTGTGACTTTTTTTTTTCTCCCTTGTATGAGGTTTTTTTTTCTTTTCTTTTTTTCATTTTTATTGTGAATGGAGCATTGGTTTTACACCATCATTTCATTGCAGTGATTACAATCTCTGTGCATTATCATCATTCAACAGTATTTGCTTCCATTCCTTCTGTTTGGATTTTTTTTTTGGGGGGGTGGGGGGAGGAATGTACACAAAGCACTCAGGAATATATAATAATTGACACCACCAAGGGGCACATTTTGCAGGCCTGCCTCCTGGCCACCAGCCCTCAGTCCCTCTCTTTCCATGAATCTAGAGTCCTCACCTGCTCCTCTCTCCATGTCACCATCTCTGGAGTCGCTGCTTCTCTGGTTAGGGTCCCACATTCCTCTTGTGCTCTTCTCCCTTGTCCTAGGGTCCTCTGTTCCTGGATTATATGATTAGCTACTCCCCCATTTTTGTTACCAAACTTGTACCTTTATAGCTGTGACAGTCGCAATTAACAATTACTATTGAATCATAAAGCTCTTCTCCCCCATGTCTTTCCAGTTGAGCAGTGTAGTGTAGAGAATTCATTAAAGTGTGGCATTGTGGGTTAATTCACTGGGCTGCAAGGTTGGAACCACAAGGTTGGCAGTTCAAGCTCACCAGTCCCTCCTCGGAAACCCTATGCAGGGTTGCTATGAGTCAGAACTGACTCAACGGCACTTAACAACAACAACAACAACAGGACCGGGCAGTGATTTGTTTTGTTCTGCAGAGGATCGCTATGAGTCGGTACTGACTCGATGGCACCTAACAACAACAATGGGAAATACAAGTAAGTACAGCCCCCATACTTCTGAACGGACGCAGCATCCTTCTCCATGAGGATGAGGACTCTGTTGTCTAACACGGGGCAGGGGTCAGTGTCTGTTCTGCTGTTCACCAGGTACTGCCTCGTGCGCTGGTGTAAACGTGGTGCGGATATGACTGTGCTCTTGTCTTTCAGATTGTCTATAGGGAAGTTGAGAAGCGTCCAAAGCTGGGGCTAGAGGGCCTTCCCTTCCCACCGCCGAGAGCAGCAGCCAGGCCTCTCTCCTCCCCAGAGACAAAATGTAAGGAGCAGGGGGGCTTTCTGCGCGAGAGCGTGTCCTTGTCCAAGTAAACGTCCAGTGCTCTTTACTCATCACCCGTACCCCCAGACTCGGCTTTCTTGACCTGTGTCATCTCCAGCCTTTAGTCCAATAGTTTATTAAGATCGTGTGGGGGTTGACCACTATATGTGCTGTTTTTGTTGACTGAATGTAAGTTCCAGACATTCACAGTGTGGTGGTCATGAGTCGGGCTGCTGAAAGTCAACAGTTCAAAACTACTAGCCATTCCACCATAGAAACATGAAAGCTTTCTGCTCCCATAAAGATTTACAGCCTCGGAACCCTATCCAGGGTGGTCACTATGAGTTGGAACTGACTCCATGGCATACCACCACCAGCAGCAGCTGATAGTGGGAGGGGCTATCCTTAAATGAATAATAGGATTTCCTGGGTGAGTTAGGAAGGGAGAGCATCAGGAGACCACCAGTTCAGCTGCTGGTTGGTTTGAATTCAGGCTCTGTGATCCTGAAAACTTCTGGTGTCTGGTTCCCCATCTGTAAAGTGAAAGACCCATAGAGATGTTGAAAGACCAACAGGTTCAAAGATAGAGGAAACACCTAGAATGGCAGGCAGCTGGCCTTTGCTGAGGCTCTGGAGAGAGCCCCCGAGTGCATCATGCCTTACTGGGCCAGCTTTGTAGCCAGTGAGAGCCTCCCTGATGATCTTAGCTGTGTAGCCAGTTAGAGCCTCCCTGATGATCTTAGCTATGTAACCTGTCAGAGCCTCCCTGATGATCTTAGCTGTGTAGCCTGTCAGGGCCTCACTGCTGATCTTAGTTAGCTATGTAGCCTGTCAGGGACTCACTGCTGATCTTAGATGTGTAGCCTGTCAGGGCCTCACTGCTGATCTTAGCTGGCCTTGCCTTTGTTGGGAAAAGCTAACAGCAGCAGAGTGACCGGCATGTTGAACCTGGTTTACATTAGGACGTCAGAGGGGAGAGAGGTGCCACTTGTCAGAGCTAGTCAAGTAGTCGAGTCACGCATCTGATCGTAGCCAAAGCTACCAGGTGGTTCTGGGTGTCGTAGGCACCTCTTGCAGATCACCAGCTTGCAGGGAAGAGAACTACCTGCAGGTTCTCAAGCAGCACAGGGCTAGGCCCCCCAGGAGGGATGGCTGGTGTACCTCAGTGCTCTTTGCTCAAGGTGTGTAGATAAGGTGTGGAGCTCTCTGCCTGGCTAGTGCATTGTCTATAGGCTGGTCGTCCCCACAGTGGCGCTGCAGTGCTGGCCTCACAGTAGTGACTGCTGTGTCTCTTCCTTCATTCTGCAGATGAGATCGCCTCCTTGCCATTCTCCCTGCAGACCCTGAAACCCGTCACTGACAGGGCCAACCCCAAGATCGGCGTTGGCACAATGGCCTTCAGCCCTGACAACTTCTTTCTAGCAACAAAGAATGGTCAGTGTACAGGGCTGTGTGCAGTGTTCTTGTGTTGGGTGTGGTTACTAGTGTCTGTGGGACCAGGCACACACACAATACAAAGGAAATCCTGTGATGGGGTATTAAGGGTTGAATTATGTCCCTTCAAGATGCATTGTAAGGAGCTCTGATAGCGTAGTGGGTACGAATCGGGCTGCGAGCTGCAAGGTCAGCAGTTCGAAACTACCAGCTGTTCTGTAGGAGAAAGAGGTGGCTTTCTGCTCCCGTAAAGATATACAGCCTCGGAAATCCTGTACAGGGTCGCTGTGAGTTGGAACCGACTCCACAGCACTTAGCAACAACAACAAAAAAGATGCATTGTAAATCCTAACCTCTGTCCTTGTGGTACTGTGAGATAAAGCACTGGACTGTAAGGTCAGTTTGAACCCTAAGGCCAGCAGTTCAAACTCACCAGCCACTCCTTGGAAACCCTATGCAGAGTCAATGTGAGTCAGAACCGACTCAACAGCGCTTAACAACAGTGGTGTTGTGGGTTAGACATTGGGCTGCCTAAACGGGAAGTTTGCACCTGCCACTCTTTGGGAGAAAGATGAGACTGTCTGCTTCCTTAAGAAGTCACTATGAGTCTGAATGACCTCAGTGGGAGTGGGCTGTCATAGTAATGAGGTGTGATTAGTGTAGGGTATGTCTTGAGTTGATATAATAAAGAGATTCAACTAGTGAGCAGATAAGATGGAGTATATCATATGCCAAGACACATGGCACTCTCCAAGGAACCGGGAGCAGAGGCCTGGCTTCACACACGTCATTCCTGGCCTGGTTTCCTGCCGGCAGCAGCTCCTCTCAGAGGAGCTCTGCACAGGGGCCCTCTGCTCTGCTGACTTCTTCCTATGCAATACAGAGCAGAAGGCCAGGTACTCTCAGTGCAAGCGGAGAATGGTTTTTACATTTTCAAAGGGGTGTCACAAACGACAAAGAAAACTGTGTGTGGCTCACAGACCCTAAAGTACCCTTGAGAGAGAATGTGTGCTGATTGCTGAAGGACAGGAGTGATGGCCCAGAGCATGATGCAGGGTGGTGCCCAGGGACAGCAGGGGGAAGGCTCAGTCAGGGGCAGAGCAGTGGCTGACACTGGGCTATCACTGCTGTTTTTTCAGACAACATGCCCAATGCCGTGTGGATCTGGGACGTGCAGAAGCTCAGGCTGTTAGTGGTGCTGGAGCAGCTGGCCCCGGTACGCAGCTTCCAGTGGGATCCACAACAGGCCCGCCTGGCCATCTGCACGGGAGGCAACCATATCTACCTGTGGTCTCCTGCGGGCTGCATGTCGGTGCAGGTGCCCATGGAAGGTGAGTCTATCCCAGCAGATGTGTGCATTGCAGTAGGGCTCAGCATCACAAACAGGGCTGAAAGAACCGTGTAAACCCATACTGTCCTGGAGTGTCAGCTCAAGTTCCTCTGGGCACCTTCGATAATCCTCTAGGCCCAACTCCTACATTGTACCCAAGTCAGAATGGGCCCTTGCCCCTGCTCTAGGCATTGAGAAGGAGCATGATGGAAGAACCTGCCTCCCAATTGGGGTGGCTTTGGGCTCACCCGGTCTGGCCTGGCTGGACCCACTGCCCAGGTGCCTGGGAGTTCCCAGCTGACTCTGTCTCTGCAGGTGACTTTCACGTGCTCTCCCTGTGTTGGCATCTGAGCGGGAACTCCATGGCCCTCCTCAGCAAAGAGCACTTTTGCTTGTGTTTCCTGGAGGGCACCTGCACTGCCTGAGAGCCTGGACAAGCGCTATGGTGACCCAGACCGTCCTGGGCTGTCTTCTAGCTCTGCCACTCCACGCTACATTAGGTTTTATTTTTCTATAGTCAAGCACTTTCGTAAATATGTGTAGAGTAAAACTTTTTCTAAAATAAACATTTCTAGCTCATAAAATCATTGATGCTTGTTTCCTTGATGTTTGGGCCTCAGAAATGCTAGCTTTGAGTTTTTGACCCCCTTAGGGCCTACCCTCCCCGCTCCAAGCCAGGCCCCCGGGTCTGCTTGTTCTCCGTTTGGTCTCCGGCCTGGGTTCCTGGATCCCATGTGGGGCAGGAATGGGAGGAGTGTCTGCAGCACCAGGAGCAAGGCGCACCTGAGCTGCTGGCCAGTCACCGCAAGCATGGGGTCAAATCAGGTCCCTGACCATTGAGTCAGGACACCAGTATTCACCCAGGCTTGAGGACCAGTGCTGGGTCCCCACCCCAGCTGTGTTGGAACCATCAGAGCTTGTGAGACACCAGTGCCCTTTCCAGTCCTTCAACTCAGGTGCTTCTGCCAGGTGAAAGCCCCTGGGGACAAGGACTCCTTGTTTCATGCTATGTGTCACCTGTCCTTTTGCAAACAGAACAGGTCTGAGGGTATTGTCCTGTGAACAGACATGCCCATAGCAAGATGGCAAGCCAGGTCTGCAAAGCTTCTGAAGAAAACAACGCAGGATGGAATTGATACCCATCAAACCAGCACTGTTTTGGGTTTTGCTCCATTTTAATAACTTCAAAAGAAGGAACAACATCCACACAGTTGTCACTGTCTTTACGAGACAATGCAAAGAAGGCCCGTGAGCCTTTGCTGCGCCATCAGCTGAATAGGACAGGTCACCACAGGGCACTGCTTCAGCAGTGGGAGGAGTTTCCCACAGTGCTCCATCACGCAAGCTGTGCAGGAGGTGGGGGACCTCAGGGGCCTATTCCAACACTGTGGGAAGGCCACCAGGGGTGCCACACACACACACATAACCCCAAGTCTGTGCTAACTGGGGACCAAGACAAGTCTCACCATTTCCCAAGCATCTCACAGGGCACCTCTGTAGAGTGCAAACGAGCCAGTTTCCTCTGAATTGGAATGGGACATCACCACCGACTATGCAGGACTACCCAATAAGTGTTGGAAACTGAGAACTTTAGTCTTAAAATGGATTTTCTGTAAACTTTTTTGGGCCTGGGCAAGATGTATTAACACATTTAGATGAGTTTTAGAAAAAGTGGGACCTGAAGTCAAATGTGTACAAAAGAGCAACTCTTCACAGTGCAGCTGACAGGTACGTACATCAGTCTGTTGGCTTCTTTTGCATTTAAAAAAATTCAAAAAAGTAAATTTCAAAAATAAGAAATTTGATAGCAAATAAACTTATTTGCAACAACAGGCCCTCCCTGCCTTTCAATGGTAACTGATGGCCTTGAGTACCACTCCTGGATCTAGCCATGTACACAACTGCTGTGTTCTTCTGGAACCACTGTGACTTTATTAACATGCAGGAGGAGCCGGGTTGGCAAGAACCACAAGAAGCTAAACAGCTAGCACTGAAGGAAACTGAAGCAGAGAAAGGGAATCCTAGCCAGTACAGGGGTAGCAAGAGTCACTTGGCTTTTGTCCATAGCTCCTGTGACCACAGGTCCACGCCCAGCTAGCATAGATACTTCACTTTACTATTCTGATGGCTCTTAGGGCCTGGCTTGCAGCCATGTCTGGTGAACTGTTGGAGCCCGACATGCCCCTGGCTCTCTGACGTTAGCCGCTCCCTGAAGCTGACCCTAGAAGCCTATCTTGCCTCTGGTCATGGAGTAACCCAGTTTGGCTTCATTGTTGATAAAGGACATCAGTCCCACGTAGGTCTCGATGAGGAGGGGGCGCTCGAGGACCAGCACAGTGTTTGCACTTCCTGGCAGAGGACTCTCTTTCTGGGCTTTTTTGACAGCCTGGATCAATAGAGCCTTGAAGCTTTCCAGCTTTAATGAGAGAAAGAGAAACACTGAGTTTTACCCTTGACTAAAGAGAAAAAATCCATCCATTACAATGACAAATGCACCTGCTGAGGCCCATCAGGTCTCCAAATGCCACTGATTTCTTTGCCAGGTCCTTAAGTACCCTCACCTATAGGAGCTTTCTCTGAAGCTACATCTTGTTAAGTGCCGTCAAGTCGATTCCGACCCATAGCGACCCTGTATAGGGTTTCCAAGGAGCAGCTAGTGAGCTTGAACCACTGACCTTGCAATTCAAACAACTTTGCAGTCTGATACATTAGCCCACAGCGCCACACCAGGACTCCGAAGCTACATCTTAGGACTCTTGTTACGTACTGAAATGTATTCCCACAAATTTATGGTGTAAACCCTTACCCCTACACCTGTAGTTACAGTCCCATTTGGAGATGGGGCTTTGTGTCATGCTAAGAGGCCACATCAGAGTAGGGTGTGTTTTAGTTAGCCCATCATCTTTGCGATACAAAAGGGTGGATTAAGAGATGATTAATCAGAGATGAGGGAAATGGGGGCCATGCCACAGGAAGTTCACTAAGGAGCCACGGAACAGCGTACTTTCTGTTGAAGCAGTACTAGGTAACTAAGTCAGAAATCCTTAAGCAAGCAGCTCAGTGTAACTCCACAGCCCTGTCAAAACATCACTGCCACTGTCCATTTGTGAGATAGCAGTCAAGACTTGAAGGCCCAGCTTGGAGTGCTGTTGTCATAGTAACCTATGTACTCCTTCCCACAGCCCCACCAATTAGTCATTAAGCCAAAGCTACATAGCCACCAAGTGGTGGATGTCTGGGGCTTAGCTACCAGCCCATACCGCCTGTGCTCGTGGTATTCTAGCAGAGACCTGGAGGGATCAGTGCTGTTCCTCAAAGGCCTTCTGGACCCTTCTCCATGGCAAGGGGCCACGTTATAGAGCTGTCCAGTTACAGAGCAGCTATTGGCCACATGAGGTCATTTCAACTTACGACAAAGGTTTATGTCTTCAATTCCACTGGTTCAAGTGCTCAGTGGCCCCAGGACTGGACAGTGCAGATCTAGAACATTCCATCACTGCACTAAGTTCTGGGGACAAGCTAGTATCCACCGTTCATCCTTTTACCTGGCACAGAGACACAGTCTTCTCATCCGCATCAGCCATTGGGTGCTCAATGAAGGTGGCGTAGGGCACGTTGGTAGACCAGGGATTCCATCTGTTTATGAAAGAAGGGCGACTCTGCTTGTCCCACTGGATGCGAAGCCCAAAACCTGCTCTCCTGATGGATGAGAAGAAACGAGTCAGACCCCACAGCAGGCTGCTTAGTTATTTATAAGGGCACGACATGCAAAAGTGCTCCATTGACAGCAGAGTACCAGTGGTCATAGTAATAGTGGTCAGATTAGCAGCATATGTAATTTACTCCTCTAATGATCTCCATTCTAACAGATTAAGCTAAGCTTAACCTTTACATGATTACAAAAATGTATTAAGAGAAATAAAGATGAAGCACCTAAATGAGTGACATTTTTATAACTTTAAATTCTGTTCTAAAATGTTGGTTAAGATTTTTGGCTCATCTTCACTTCCTGAATGCTCCCTATCCAAATATCTACATACAAACTCTATAAACTCAAGTTTAATTCAGTTGACTATATCCACATTTCCCCAACAGCTCACTGCTCAGTTCCGACTCACAGAGACCCTGTATAGGATTTCCAAAGCCTGGAAAAATCTTGACAGGGACAGAAAATTTCATCTTTCTCCCGAGTGGCTGGTGGGTTTGAACTGCTGACCTTGTGGTTAGTAGTCCAATGCTTACCCTATAATGCCAACCAGTGCTCCTCATATTCACATCTAGGCTTCTCAAATTTCAGAAAATTCCCCTGAAGGTAGAGAATCATTTCTGGAAAACCATTCAATAAACAGTCACATGTATCTAGTGTTCAGAGGCAACTAAGGAAAGTGGTGCCCCCTTTGTTTCTTTGAACCACATCAGGAACTGACATGGTTGATGTAACACCTTTCCTCCAGGAGAAAATGCTGATTTTGGCCTTCAGCTGGAGACTCCTTGTTAGGTGCTTTCAAGTCGATTCCGACTCATAGCTACCTTATGCACAACAGAACTAAACACTGCCTGGTGCTGCGCCTTCCTCAAAATTGTTATGCTTTAAGCCCACTGCTGCTGCTACCGTGCCAATCCATCTTGTTGGGGTTCTTCCTCTTTTCACTGACCCTCCACTTTAATAATCAGGATCTCTTTCTCCAGGGACTGGTCCCTCCTGATAATATGTCAGATGTATGAATGCCAAAGTTTGGCCATCCTGGCTTCCAAGAATTCTGGTTGTACTTCCAACACAAATTTGTTTTTCTAGCAATCCATACTTTTGAAATTCTTCACCAACACCACAACTCAACTGCAAACTATACAAGGACTATATACAAGGTTGTTTTTAACATGTAGGGTTCTATGTAACTGTATCTTGAATTCAGATCATCCACTTTTGCTACAGGCCTTTCAGGCATCAGTTGCCCAGAGATCTCGGGTTTCTACTCTTAAGAAATCTTCCATTGATTTGTGAAGCTGTAGCACTTTGTTTCTCGATAATACCATGTAATGGAGAGGCAGCAAAGCCACTGAGGTCTGATTTTTTGAAGTGAAAATGGGAAGACACCTATAGGAGTATATTACAAGGCCCTCTCCAGCAAAGTTCAGTGGCTTTGGATGGTCTGGGCAGACTCACTTGTTCAGGGACTTCGGAGGGAACTGGAATTCTCCGTAGGAGATGGTGTCCACAGCATTCAGGGCAATTCTGAGCACTTGCTGGCACTGGAGACTGATGAAGTCGTATTTACAGATGAGCAGAGACTGCTCTGTGATGAGCACCAGGCGCTCCTTCTCATTATTCCAGTGATCAACCCTGCCGGAGAACAGGTAAGTTAACTTCTTCCCTGTAGAGAGTAACGGCGAAAAGACCCACCCTTCCCTTTCTCCCCAGGAGGGTGGGCAAAGGCCTCCCAGGGCTCCGTTTCCACTCTGGAAGTCGCGGCCTCCAGCACGTCGTCCCACCGACGGAGGCGCTGCCACCACCTTATGGTACGCCGGCCCCTGGGCGTGTGAAGGCTTCCTCGGGCGGGCCCCGTCCCCCAGAGGCGGGCAGGCTTACTCGGTCAGCAGCCACACCCCCTGGATCTCGCCGTCCTCCACCGGTCGGACCACCACGCGGATCTCCTCCACTGCCTGCTCGATGGTCCCGGGCTGGGGCACAGGGCAAGGCGCAGAGGTCACGCTTCCGCGGGGCCGAGCCCCGGCACCCTGCCTCCCCCGGGGCCATTCCCCCACCGTCCGTCGTTCGTCCCCACAGGCCCCGGCCTCACCCGGAACACGAAGTACTCTTTGACGCGCGCGCGGCGCGTGGGGTCGTGAACGCTGAGAGGCCACAGAGTCTGGCGCAGCGGCGTGCCTGCCCCCGCCCGACCCGCGCCGCCGCCGCCGCCCGGCCCGACCTCTTCGCCGGCCGCGAGCACCGCCGTGGGGCTCGTGCCCTCCGAGTCCACCGAGTCCCGCAGCTGCAACATCGCCGCTGCCGTCCGTGGCCCCTACCCGGCTGCCGTCGCCGCCTCAACTACCCACCGACCGTCAGCGGCCCCAGGCGGCTGCCCCGGTCCGCCCCGCCCCCACGAGCCGTCCCGATTGGCTGCGCCTCGCCAGTCTCTGGGCCCGCCCCCACTCGTCACCTCTGGGGATTGGCTCTTCCCCAGCCGCCGTCCACGATTGGCTCTGCCCCGCCGCCCTTCACTACCGCGCCGGCCAGTCTCAGTGCCGGAAGCGTTCTCCGTGTGCAGGCCTACTTCCTGTTTACGCGACGGAGGACGAGGTGTGGCTGAGACGGAGGGGGTGTTGCCGGGGAGTTGGGGCGCGGCCAAGAAGGGTTGAGGATGTTGTGCAGGTGACTTGAGGGGCCACAGCAAGGCGCGGGGCTGGGACTGAGAAACTCCGGAGGGCGCGGCGTCTGGATAGGTTCGGGGGCGGGGCCGAGGGGGCTAAGGCTCGCAGGGCGGCTTGGCATGAGAAAGAGGGCGCTATCACCTCCCCGGAGCCCTGGTCCTTAGAAGCGCTTGGGCGCATCCTCAGGGTGGGGCGGGGGTCCTGGACGCGGACTTGCCGTGGCCTCTCGAAAACCTCAGCAGATTGCTCCCTGTTCTCACGCCGTTGCTGTTAACTTGTTAAAAAAGTGCAGCAAACATACCCAAGAGGAACTGTGTGGATGGATTTTGTTTTATAAAAAAACTTTTTCTTGTGAATTGAGTGACGTTTTACAGAGCCAATAAGTTTTCCATTCAAAAACACATACACATTTTGTTTCGTGTCTTTGATTGCAAAGACAGCAGACACTAACAGCCTGGAAGCAGAAGCATATTAAAGTATAAGGCATGTCTTGGGCGCCACTTGAGGGGGCATCAATTGCTGTTGCAGTTTCTGTCCACAGTTCTGAAAGATCAGTACACAACTGCCGTAGGTGTTATTTTTCATTGATATGACTCTACCCGGAAGCACCCCCTGTTCACCAGGCTATTTAGGACATCTGACTGCACCCACAAAAACACACTCATTTTGCCTTATGTTCCATTGTACATGTTGTGTGAGATGGGATGTGTGTACTTGTGTGTGCGTATAGAATGTGTTGTGATTGTGTGTGTGTGTGTGCGTTTGTGTTGGCTCTCCACGACAGGGAACTCAGTTCACCAGACTCACCTTCATGGCCGTGTCATCTCCAGGATACAGTCCAGATTTGTCAGTGGTCCTAAAGCTCTCTGAGTGCTTCTGACCCTTGTCTGGCTGGCTCTCTGACTTCTGCCACCTGTACTCTTGACCAGCACCCCAGCAACCCCCAAAACCTGGGTTAAAACTCACCTGCCCCAGGAGACACTTGGCTCACAATTCTGTTCTTTGCTTCTTCACACTGTTTACTCCCTGCGTGTCCAGTTACTGCTCAGTGTGTATGTGTGTCCTATTGGTTGGGGCCATTCAATGGAAATTCAGTGCACATGTGAAAGTTGGAAAATGGTTAAGGAAGACTAGAGAAGAACTGATGCATTTGAGTTACGGTATTGGAAAAGAATATTGAAAGTACCACGGACTTCCAAAAGAACAAACAAGTCTGTGTTGGAAGAAGTACAGCCAGAGTGCTCCGTAGAAGTCTGAATGGTGAGACTTCGTCTCTCCATATTATCAGGAAGGACCAGTCCCTGGAGAAGGACATCATGCTTGGTAAAGTGGAGGTTCAGTTAAAAAAAGGGAGACCTCCAACAAGATGGATTGGCAGCAGCAACAGGCTCAAGTGTAACAGCAATTGTGAGGATGGTGGAGGACCAGGCAGTGTTTCATTCTGTTGTGTATAGCGTTGTTGCGAGTTGGAACCAACTCGACGGTACCTAACAGCAACAACAATGTATGACTGGTACTTGGGGGTTGTGATGTAATGTTAGGTGTCAACTTGACTAGACCTTAATTCTCAGAAGGCTTGAGACTTTATGCCTTCATTTTGTGGTCCGATGTGACCAACCAACCATTTGGAAGCAGAATTCCCTTGGTGGTGTGTCCTGTAGCCAATATTTATGGGTATTCTGGCAAAGTTCACTCTCTCTCAATCCTGCACTCATCTCATCATCTTCCGACCTCTGCTTCTTGGGATGTGAGTCAGTAGCCTGCTACCTAACCTGCAGAATTTGGATTCAATAACTCTTACGCCCCCATGAGCCAGTAGCCTGCTGCCTGACTTGCAGACTTGAGGTTCATCAGCTTGGCAATGATGTGAGTGCCTCACCCATAGATTTGTGAGCCATTCCATTGAAATAAAACACTCTCTAAATATTTATATAGGAAGGTGCAATGGTCAGAGTTTTGTGTCAACTTGACTAGGTCAGGATTTCCAAAGGTTTAGCAGTTAGGATATTCTTATTCCCAGGGTGATGACATCTACTACAGGCATAGTTAGCTCTATGATGAGTGGCTATGTGTGGCTGATCAATTAAATGGATGCTTTCTTAGGAGTGTGGTCTATTGCAATATAATGGGCATGTGGGAGGGACTCTTTCTCTTCCATTGGGGACCTGCGACTCTACAATGGTAAGATAATACACTTCTCTTTATATAGACATATATGTTTCGCTGGTTTTGCTTCTTTAGAAAACCTGACCTTACAGAGGGTAAGTAAAAAAATTACTGGTGCTAGGGTTCCAGTTCATATATCGTGGTCGTCGTGGTCGTGACGTGCCGTGGAGTTGGTTCCGACTCATAGTGATCCTGTACAGGGTACAGGATCAAATGCTGTTGATCTTTATGGGAGCAGAAAGCCTCATCTTTCTCCTGCAGAACAGCTGGTAGTTTCGAACTGCACAGCCCGATGACCACCACACTGCCAGTTCATACATACACTGGTTTATTCCAAACAAAATGTGTTTAAACATGTCTTTGTAATCAGTGAATGGCGGCAGACAAGTTCTCACAGTAATATTCTTATCTTAATCTCATTAGGGTCCCTTCCAAAAAAAAAAAAAAAATGTCCAGTGAAAACAGTAGCTCCCAAGGGGATCTGCTAGGCCTGTTAAATTCAAGGCACAGAGGTCAGGTCAGCCTATGAAGACTGTTTTTGAGGACTCCAAAGGGGTCATCTTGATAGATTTTCTTGAAGGATGATCACAGGGGCTTATTATAAAGAAGGTTTAAAAAATGGAAAACTACACTGGTAAGAAAAAGGCCAGGAAAGTTGCGTGAAGGACTTTTTTTTTTCTCCCATCATTAAAGTCCACCTGGTCCTTCAAGAGTAGCAAGCAGTCCTCCGAGGATTTTATTGGGAAACCTTACCTCATCCACCCCACAGTCCTGATCTTACCCTTTCGGACTTCCTTTTGTTTCCCAAACTCAAATGGAACATGAGTCGAGTCGGTCGAGGATGCCCAAACTGCCCTTTGACGTGGTGTAATCAAAGAGTGGAGAATTCTTCAAGGATTAGAGAGCTGGGAACCCCACCTCTATACAGAGGTGTATAGACTTAGATGGAGGAGATGTGGGGAAACACTGGCTTCACATTTTGACATTTTCGTTTAATAAAGAGCCCAGCTGAAGAAGGGTTCACACCCCACTGTCACATTTCTTATCTCATTTCCACCACTTGCAGGGCCCACCTAGGGTAAACTGAGTCTCTGTGAAGTGCCCTGTGTGTGGCATGTACTGTCTCTGTGCCCCTCCACACGTGGCTTCAGGAGAGGGCAGGATTACTTCCCTTATACCGAGGGGTCGTGCCTGTACTGGGCTCAGTTAGAGTCTTCACCTGCACCTTCCCATCCTCCGTGGAGGTGGCATCTGGGAGGAGCTAGGCACAGAAGGAAAGCCTGTTCCTGAACTGAAACATTCACTGCTTTCCAGGAGTAAGAATAAAATAATGCTATCAAGTGCATTGGATTCCTGGTGACCCAATATGATTCAGAGTAGAAGAATTGTGCTCCATAAGGTTTTCAATGGTGGGATTTTGGAAAGTAGATCTCCAGGTTTTTCTTCTGAGGTGCTTCTAGATAGACTCGAATTTCCAACCTTTCAGTTAACAGGTAAGTGTGTGTGTGTGAACCATTTGCACCAACCAGGGATTTTGTTCACCAGTATACTCTCCCTGTTTACCTCCAACACACTGAGAAGGGATTATCAGTCATTTCTTTGGCCCATGGGATGACAGGGTAACCCTGCTAGCGTCTTCCTGGTGGAAGGCTGCTCCCCGAGGAGCCAGGCGGACTCTCTTGGAGTGTTTGGGATGGAGGAACTGGTGGATAGGGGTCCAACTACTCTGGGAAGAGCTCAGGGGTCCCTCATGGAGCTGTGAGCTGTGGGTGCCGAACCTTTCTGCTTCCCTTTCTTCATCTGGAAAGTGGGAAGAATAGGAGCCTAGGTTGTCACGAGGCCTCCCAGAGCTAATACAGACTAAGAGGTAGTTGTAATGGTTGTGCGCTGTGGAATCAGTTCTGACTCATAATGATCCTGTATAGGGGATTCCTGGTATGGTGCTATAGGACAGGGAACCACAGGTCAACAGTTCAAACCTAGCAGTTGCTCCCTGGAAATCCTACACAGGGTCACTACGATTTGGAACTGACTACATCACAACAACAACAACAACATAGGGTTTCCAAGGCTGTAAATCTTTATGGGAACAGAAAGTCTCATCTTTCTGCCATGGAGCAGTTGATAGATTCAAATTGCTGACCTTGGGGTTAGCAGCTCAACTCATAACCTACTACGTTATGAGCTCTCCTTAATACACACAAAGAAGACCTGTGGGACGTTCACAAGCTACGGCCATCAAGTCGATTCTGACATAGCAGCCCCATGTGTGTCTGAGTAGAACTGTGCTCCATGGCATTTTCAGTGCTTGAATTTTTGGACAGTCTTCCTAGGTGTGTCTTGTTGTTAAATGCCAATGGGTCAGTTCCAACTCACAGTGACACCGTGTAGGATTTCTGAGGAGTGGCTGGTGAGTTTGAACCACTTGCAGTTCAAACTGACCTTGCATCAGTGTCTCTAGGTGAACTTGAACATCCAATCATTT